GATCATAAAGAGCTCTTCTCCAGGAGCGGCATCAATAGAATGCTACTATAGCACAACGTAAATAAGCCAAACTATAGCGATAAGTGCAGTTTCTAAACATAGCGCATTACGTTACTCGTGCTCATTCTGTATGGCACATTGATCAAGTAAGTATGTTCACCAAGAGAGTTATTTGTAAATGAATATCAAAGTTTCAATTGTGAAGCAAAATTCAAAACAAAGGATATCAAAAAGATGGCATAAATTGTGTCTTGCTTACCTATACACTTCTGGAGTTCCTATGCTGTGTCGGTGCTTGCTGAGTTATGATCATCTGATCATCGCGTGATGTTGCTCAGTGGGCAAAAATAACTCTCATCCCCAGACCCGCCTGTCCGTCTCAGCCGGCAGGGGCCTTGACGCGAGGAAACTGCGGCTCTAAAGACCCTGACTTAATTGGCTGGATTTTCACTTATTCGCCGCTCGTTTCTTTCCCAAAAATATGCACTGGTTGATCTTTAAGTAAAACTGATCGATTACCGACACCTACAGACCTTTTCAACAGGTTTTAACAAAGGAATTTAGATTAGAGTAGAACCCACCTCTCGTAAGAGATCACCTCTCCTCTACTAAAAATTTTCTAGTCGTTAAATCACTATATTTGAAACGAACCTCTTGTAAGCGACCACCTCTCGTAAGCGACTGCCACCACCGTTCGCAGGCTACTACTTGACAGATAATAGAGGAGAAGTTGGATAATAAGGTGTTGTAACATTATCACATTCCTGGGTAGTAAAAGGGACGAAAATTTCTCAATGGGAAGTACCGGATTTTCTCTCAAAATTGACTTTTCACATGAATAAAACATTTAAAACAAGGGACAAGTCTCTGTAGTTACCATATGCTAATGAGGCAAAATTTTGACTCAATATGGTCTAGGCGCTCGTAAGCGACCAAGGCTTGATGTTTTGGGTGGTTGCTTACGGGAAGTTCCACTGTAGAAGTTAAAGTCTGGCCGAGTGTTTCGGTGTAACTCAGTTTTAACTTCTTGAAGGTCTGTAGGTTCTGTTACCAAACCGTAAGGAAACGAGCGGCGAATTCGTGAAAATCCTTAACCAACAATCAAGGCGATCATTGGTCTACAAACTTTTCCTCGTGCCAAGTCCCCGCCAGCTGGGAGAGCTGATGACGGTTCTGCAAACGAGAACAGTGCAGATATTGAACTCCAGTCCCCTCACTTCCCACGAGTCCTGTCACAGGCCCCACATTCCAGACAAGGTGTGGTTTGACGTTTTTCGTCGGTGGGGCTCGATATATTTTCCGTTGTTCTGAGGAGTATTTATAATTGAATTTCTAATTTCTTTCGAACCCTCCTCTCGCTCCTCCGTCTGGTTAATTGCTCCCGTGACTTGGTACAAGTGAAGGGAAAGCAGAACTCCTGTTGGGAACCTCGTTCCCAGGGCCTTTTCCCTGGCTTGGGGGCGGGG